CGGGAAGCCTGCTTCTCCCTCTCCCACTGCCCCTGCTTGTGTTCCCTCTCTGGCTGTGTCTCTCTCTGTCAAATAAATAAATAAAATCCTTAAAAAAAAAAGAAAAGAAAAAAGTAGAAGAAATGTGTAAACCAGAGGAAAGAAAGAAAGAGAAGAACTAGAACCTTGTTCAAAGGTACTCCAAGAACCAAGAGCAAACTAAGCAAACGGGGCCAGCAAATGACGGCCCCGTGGGCAAATCTGCCCACCCCCTGCGCCTGTTTTTGTACGGCCCATGAGCTTCAGATGGTTTTTACGTGTTGTTTTGTTTTATTTTTACTTGACAGGGAGAGCAAGAGAGCACAAGCAGGGGGAGCAGGAGAGGGAAAGGAAGAAGCAGGCTCCCCGCTGAGCAGACAGCCCAACATGGGGCTCGATCCCAGGACCCTGACATCATTAAACTGAAGGCAGACGCTTCACCAACTGAGCCACCCGCCCTAGTTTTTACATTTTTAAGTGGTGGAGGATGGGGGAAAAAAATCAAAAGAAGACTACTTCGTGATATGAAAATGATACAAAACTCAAATCCCTGGGCCCACATATAAAGTTTTATTAGCACCCAGCCACATGCTGGTTCACATGTCTCTGGCTGCTTCCACGTTACACCAGCTGAGCCGTGTAGCCAACAGGAGACTGAATGGCCGGCAAAGCCCGAAATACTTATTCTCTAGATCTTTACAGAGAGTTTGCCAATCCTTGAACTAGACAAAATCCTCATGGAACTTACATGCTGATGTGAATAATATTCCCATCTGGTTCAGTGCTCCATACCCAGCTCTGTGCACAGAGCCTGCCCTGTAATAGGCCCTGGGTCAATATTTGTTGAATAAATACACAGTGCCTTTCACGTCACAGGAATTGAATAATAAAAGTAACCCTTTATGCACGTATGAGACCTTGGCTGTTACTATCTTTTGGACTAAATACCTAATTTTTACAACCACCCCAGGAGCAAGGTAGCACTGTCCCCATCTTAATAAATGGGGAAAACAATGCCCTAGAGATGATGGGATTGGCTCAAGTCCTCCAGAACATACTCTACCAATTAGAAGGGCTAATGTTTACAGAGCACAGGCAAGCTCTCTACACAGGTTATCTTAAGCTAATTTTGGTTCTGTGAGGTAGAACTTCACTTATACCCATTTGATGGATGAGAAACTGAGGCTTAGACAACTAACTAGACCCAAAATGCCCAGTGAATGAGTAACAGAACTAGAATTTGAAGCCAATTCAATCTAATCCACAGCCCAGGTTCCTATCCCCCCAACTCCTACCCCTGCCCAATGCAATACTGACTCTAGATCACTGCTCCGGTGGAAAAAAAGATCCCCGCCCTCACTGACTGGCTCCTGACCACACAGATCTTGGGAAGACAGGGAGAACAGCTTTGGTTTTTGCGTCGGGAGTGCAGATCCACCAGGGGGCATCCCTGAACTTTGTTGGAAATTCTGGCCTGCTCTGGACAGCACTGGCTCCTTCCTAACCAGGGCTCCTGGAATAGGTGGGCTCTGCTCAGCTTTTCTGGGAAGCCCAATTGGCAGAGAACCTGCTATTACAGTGGGGGAGGTGAGAGGAGAACAGACACCCAAACCCTCGTCCCTCTCTGACCAGCCTCCCACCTCCCCTGCCTCTCCTCCCTAACCCTGCACAAGGTCCCATTTGCGAAGCCCCCTGTGGAAGGACTGCTGGACAGGTAGATCACAGCCCTAGAGGCTCATGCAAGTCAGCATTGAAAACTGGAGCTCGGTCGCCCCTATCAACACAACAAAGTTAAGGTAAGACTTTATGGTTCAAATCCCAGCTGGGCCTCAGGCCTCTTAGCTTCTCTAAGTATCAGTCTCCCCATTGGTGACCTGGGG